GATAAACAGACTGTCATGCATTTCTTGATATTATTATTTGTACAGATGTTATATGACATTGACGACTGCCTTGCATTTACATCGTGGTGGTTCACCTAAAGGACCTGCTGGTACTGGTAAAACAGAAACAGTTAAAGATTTGGGTAAAGCCCTTGGGAACTATGTAATAGTTGTCAACTGTTCTGAGGGCTTGGATTACAAGTCTATGGGACGCATGTTCAGTGGCTTAGCACAGGTAACTCTCATTGATATATAACTATAAAGTACCCCTTGATTGATGTAATTTTATCATGATTGAATTCATTTGGTTTACTTTATAGACTGGTGCTTGGGGTTGTTTTGATGAGTTCAATCGTATCAATATTGAAGTATTATCAGTGGTTGCTCAGCAAATCTTATCAATCTTATCAGCATTGGCTGCTGGATCATCTAGATTTGTATTTGAAGGAAGAGAGATTAACCTAGTCTGGTCATGTGGTATCTTTATTACTATGAATCCTGGTAAGAACCCCATCCTTTCTTCAATAAAAAAACACAAAAATACAACTTTGTTTTTCTGGGTAAACAATTTATTGTTAATGTGTAATCTACTTATTGCTTCTCAACAATATAATATTCAACTGCTTTTTGATAGTCTTGAATACTTAATTTTTAGACACTCAACAATTAATATAGTTATGTCTTGACACTTAAATGTGTTCACAATTGGATTGTTATATACAGTGATCCCTCGCTAAGTAGTGCCTCAGTGCACCACGATTTCAGCTAAGTCACGATTGATTGGATGGCTTCCAAAAATTAAAATGTGTTTTGCCGGCAGTTTTGCAGTGAAAGAACTAATGTACTTCAGACTTCTCAGCTGGTTCCCTTTGATATAGCTCTATAAAACTTACTACAGTGAGTTGAATCCATCACTCTGATTGCGTTTGCAAAAAAGACACGCAACGCGATTAGACAAATGATTGATTCAAGACAAAGCCAATCTGTGGACATCAGCGCTGTGATGTTTTTCAATAAAGAAAAATGTGTGTATATGTGCTTTTTATCCATGTACAATGCATGAACCTCACTTGCCTTGATACATCCTGACACCTGCAACTCAGCGCACTGTACTTAAAAAGAAAAGCATGTGCCAGCCATTATTATTATCATTACTCATGTTGGTGATGTTTTCTTACACAGGCTATGCTGGACGTACTGAACTTCCTGATAATTTGAAATCCATGTTTCGTCCAATTTCAATGGTTGTACCTGACTCAGGATATATTGCAGAAATCATCCTATTTGGTGAAGGTTTTAGTAATACTAAGGTGGGTTTTCAACAGTCCGCGTTCGGACGCAGTTCGAAAATGGGGACTTATTTTTTTACCTTCGTGTGTCCGTGTGTGCGTGCGTGCGTGCGTCCAGACCTGTATCTTAGAAATGCCTGGACCAATCACAATCAAACTTCACACATACATCATACATGATATTATACATATGCACATCAATTTGTTTCACGAATTGATTCAAGATGGTCGAATGGCGGTCTCATTTTTGTGCTAAAAATCTTCAAAATCAAGCATTTCTCGGCTGTTTACAGATGGATTTTGTTCAAACTTGGTATATACATTAGACATTATAGGACCTTGATGCACATCATTTTGTTGCACGATCTGATTCAAGATGGCCGAATGGTGGCCATTTTGTTTTAATGAAAGTTCAAATTTTAAATATTCATTATACATCATGTCATAGATAGACAGATATATTGGTTTGACGATCCTATTCAAAATGGCTAAATGGTGGCCATTTTTGTGCTAAAAAATCATCAAATATCAAGCATTTCTAGCATTTATGGATGGATTTCGTTCAAACTTGGTATATACATTGGACATTACGGGTTCCTGATGCACGTCATTTTATTTTTCAGATTGGATTCAAAATGGCTGACTGGCGGTCATTTTGTTTTAATGATTGGGTTTCTAGAGCCATATCTCTTAAATGCTTTGACTGATTATATTCAAATTTTATATATTCGTTATACATCATGTTATATATATATATACATGTATTCAAAATGGCTGATTTTGAATGCTGTTCCAGAGCAATATCTCTCAATATGGACAAGTACTACTTGTTTGACGATCAGATGCAAATGTCAATCATTTTAATGTTAAAAAATCATATTCTTGACATGGTTATATTCCAGCTATATTACTATAAACAAAACTATATATCTTAAATTTGACAACTAACAGGGACTGTGCCATGCATGGCTTGTTTAACATATATAATATAAATCAGTACTAATGAATTAATCAAAAATTACTTTTTTTTTCTTTTTAGCTTCTTGCCAAGAAAGTACACACCCTGTACTCACTTGCTGTACAACAGCTATCTAAACAGGATCATTATGACTTTGGTTTACGAGCCCTCACCTCTGTTTTAAGGTATGCTGGTGTTAAAAAGAGAATGTTTCCTCAGATGCCAGATGAAGAGGTCAGTTTAATACACAACTCTACTAACTGTCTATGTCTTTGCCACATTTGTTACTATATTCAAAATATCAATGCAATTCCTGCTGTTGATATAAGCATTTGACTACATAGCTAACATATCAGTAACATCACATGTCACTCCTAAGTGTTAGTGTCTGCAAATAACACTTTAATGACTTGTTCTCATTTCTATTTGATAGATATTGTTATTGGCAATGAAAGACATGAATGTACC